AAACTGGGAGGAGGGTAGAGAGAATAGTGCAACAATGAATGAATGGAAACCCAAAATCTCTGTAAATGTTTATGAAAATTAATAAAATATAATTATAGGAAAAAAATTAAAACATTTTAAAAAAACCAATCTCTTTAACATCTCTTCATTTTCACCTCTTATGTGCTTCATTTCATAATACAATTACTTGAGAAGAGGCTAAAATTATGTCATTTTAGTTATCTGCCACTGTTATGGCTACTGAAATACAAAAGGTTTAACTCTTTTTTTTTAACAGATGTGTGTACACACGTTAACTGCTGCATTATTCATAATAGCAAAAGGATGGAAGCAACTCAAATGCCCATCAACAAATGAATGGATAAAAAAAATGGATCCATTCATGCAACAGAATATTACACAGCACTGAAAAACAACGAATAGGTAAAACATTATACAAATGTGTGAGCTTGAAACATTTGAGTCACATTTGAATGAAACATTTCAGTCACAAAAGGACAAATACTACATAACCAATGATTCCTTCACGTATCATTTATGTTTAGTGCATAAACAGTAACAGTGAATATTCAAACAATGTTTACATTAAAACAAAACACTAAAATCTAGTAAATACCTCCAAAAACCGAAATAGGAATTCAATAATTTCAAGTGATTCACATCTTCTCCAAGTTAGCTCCACAGGTATTAATGTAGAGAAGGAAAGGCGGAGTGTTCTCAACTTTTACAGATTAGATGGCTTCCAGATATGAATAAGATCAAAGAAGAGACTAAGAGCCTCAGTCATGAATACTCAACAAACTACCTAAAGAATGGATGATTGTAACCGGTCCCCATTATACTGCTTTAGTTTTTTAAAAAAGAGCATCCAATTTTAGAGATGCAATGCTATTTTATTCTTGTTGCTGCCGCTTTGTCTAAGTCATCTGTATGTGAAATTTAAATACATACTGCAGATACCAAAGTCACTGAAGTCACATACTCTACTTCAGTAAGATACACACAAATAAATAAGAAATACAGCGCTCTCTGTTAAGAAATAACAACAATGTGGAATAATAAAATTTCATTACCTTTCCAAAGTCACGAACATCAAACAGGTCAAATGCTTCAAAGAGTTCACTTTTTCTCATCCCAAAGGTCTCACAACAGGCTGAGAGAAACGTCCTTATGTTCTTCAAACAGAGAAACTGAGGGGTAAGAAAATAGCTATTAGATCTCACAGAGTTATGCTGAAGTCTATCTCCCCTCCACCCTGAATGACAGTAAAATGGCCAGGAAGAGGGTATTAATTTTTATGATGCATCTCAGTTATGCAGTAAGTAGTATTTATTCAAACAGTTGCCCTCAAGTCATCTCCAAACCCTGAGGATACCATGTTTTTCAGAACAGAACTGTTTTACTAGGGTTTTCCGTGACCAAAGTTTTGGAAGTATATGGACAGACTTTTCTTCAGAGGCACTTAAGAATAGAGACAATTCAACCTTTCAATGAAACTGTTAATTGTCTGCGTCACCCCCAGACTCTTATTATCCATTAAGCACCTGCTATCTCCCAGACACTCCGTCAGGCATGTGTGATGCAGCTGTGAGTGAGACAGACAAATCAACTGTCCGCATGAAACCACACTCTTTTTATTGAGAGAAGACTAAAACCAAAAATGAACAGAAAATAATACTTTTCTCCCAATGACTTATCACTGCAACAGAGGAAAATAAAACAAGGAGGAAAGACCAGGATTTTGAGGGGAAATAAAGCTAGTTTTAAAAGGATGGTAAGAGAAGCCTTAGCTGACAGAAAAGAAGAGAAGCAGGGGTATGCCCTGCAGATTTAAACCCACAGAGCATCCAGGCTCAAGAAGCAGTGCATACAAGGTCAGGCAGGCAGAATATAAGCAGAGCCAAAGAAATGCTCAATTCAGCCAGAGGTGATGTGGGACAAGAGAAAATAGGAGGGGAGGTGAGAGAGGTAATGAACAATTCCATAGGACAAGCCTTTTACTCTGAGATGGGAAGTCACCGGTGATCCTACAACAGAACAGTGATAATCTGATTTCATATTTCAAAAGAGTCTTTCAAGAAGACCAGTTAGGAAGTTATATTGCACTAACTGAGGCTAGAAATATCTGTTGGGGTGACCATGTGTTAAACATTTAAAACGTTAAATTGGAAATTCCTATTAGTCATTCATTCAATGTGATTTGGGTCAGGCAACTGGATGTCTATATGTATATAACTCTATGTCAGAAGACATATAGGCTTGTTCAAAAGATGTAAATGGAGCCCAGAGCAGGCAAAGGGAAGCAGACCTGGTGGGGGTCAAGGTTAGAAGTTGGCTTCAGTCAGAAGAATGGCAGTTAATCTTCCCTCACAACAGGGGGGAAGGCAGTCAGAACTGACAATGCAAATACCAACAATTAGAGCTTGCTTTCTAAAATACCAAGGATCTCAAACATTCAGATCCAATTTAAAAGAATAGGCACATGCCTTGAAAGTTAATTCACTCTCATTGGAAATATTGACTGCTACTGAACACACAGAAACACTTCTAAAACCTAAACACCTAGTAAGTGAGCAATATATTATTACACATTACATCTTTGGGGTTGTTTTTTTTTTTAACCACTATCAATGTTTTATTTCATTTCGTTTTATCTTATTCTGTTTGGAGGTGTTTTTTTTTTAATTTGCTGGAAACTCTTTTTAATGGCTCCACATCTGAAACATTCAGATTCCTTTATGAGCTTAACTCAGACAGTTTTACCCTTTACAGGAATCCTCCTCAGAGGCTTAAATATTTCAAGAGGGGTAAAAACCACAGGAGAAGCTTCAGAAACCCTTCAGGCACAAAGGCAGCAGCCAATCAGCACATTCTGGAATAGCTTTCATTTTAAAAAATTCATAAGAGACCTTTAGGACACAGACTCACTCTGCAAGTGGCTCTTCGCATAGATTCGCTTATTTACAGATTAAAAGGCTCACATTCTGCCAAGATAGATAATAATTACTCTCTTGAGGATTATGCAACTACTCTCTTGCAATAAGTTTTACATAATTAAGTGCCCAACTCATAACTCACCAAGGAACAAAGCATAATTGCACATGCCACCCTCTGAAGATTTTGAACCAAACTCAAATGTCCCCCCTGTGTAGGGAACACTATAGTGGCTTCCACTGAAGTGCCTTGATCATTAATTCAGAAGAGCAAAATTCAAAAAGCAATATCAGTATGAAATATAGTCATTATAACATGTATAGAGGAAGAAATTGAAAAATAGGCCTTTTCCTTTATACTCAGAAACAGCATTAATCTTAATTGCCTGCTAGAAATTTCAAGTCTATTAAATTCAACAAAAGAAAATGTTTACTGGTTATGGGGAAGAGTCACGATTTCTAAGCTCTGGCTTTTCTAGGTATTTCTCAAATTCAGTGATCCTCTTTATCTATGTATTTTTCAGTCAATATTCTTTGAATGCTTTCTCCATTCCAGACACTGGATATGCAAACAAAGAATAGGGCACGGTCATGCCCCAAGCGTCTCTATTGATACTGTCTAGAGACATTGTGCTTCAGAAGTTGATTGATCTTGTCTGCACAGTGTTCCAAAATTTGGATAATAATACGAGGCTCACAATTCACTCAGTGTTCACAGGTCATTTGACTGCACGCATGCCAAGGAACTGAGTGGAAGGAGGGAGGCAGCTCAAGCAGGCATGGGTGTCACTGCTGAAGGGATGGAGAAAACTTTGCTGCCTGCTTGCCTGTCCACTCCATCATCTGTGTTTTGCTTTCATCACACAGATTTTGTTTCCTATTTACTTCCAATAAAAATAACTGAACAAAAAAGAAAAACTAGGATAGCGCAATGAGTATTTGGAGCAGGAATAGCAACACACTCCACTAAGCTACAGCCACCATTCCTGTTCTCTAATGATACAATATATCTGGCTGAGCCATTGAAAGCAAATCACAGACTTCCTGGCGCTTCACGCTGAAATAACATCTTGCAAGAATAAAGACACTCTCCTATATTCTGACAATACCATCATCACACCTAAGAAAATAAAATTTTATATTAATTCTGTATCAATTTTTCCAATTGATGTCGAACATAGTCTTTCAGTATTTGTCCTCCAACCTAATAAGCATCCTTAAGTTTAATTCCTTGCATTTGATTATTTTAACTTTGTAATATCTTTTTATCTAGAATATCCTGCTGCTACCTTTTTTTTATTTTTCCAATGACTCTGACTATTTGAAAGGTCTAGGTCAGCTGTCTTACAGACTGGCCCCCACTCTGCATTTATCTGATTAGTCCTTTGTGATATCACTAAATCTGTTCTTCTTTCACTTCTATCTCCTGTGAACTGTTACGTTTAAATTCAAATTAAACAGCTTGGGCAAGAACACTTCATACTGGGAACTTCATATATCATCACATCAAGAAGCACAAAATGTCAGGTGGCCCCATTATTACAAGTTTGATGACTTGGTTAGACATTTCTCTAATGCAAAAGGACATGCCCCTTTTCTATTGCAAAGTAATCTGGCATGATAACTTGGCACCATTTACATGTCCTATTTCCCAATACATATTCACTAGCATCTAATCTTTGCTTCAGTTCTCCTACTTGAGACTGTGGAAGAGTGACTTCTAATTCTGTCATTCTTTCTGCACTTAGTAGGTGGGATTCTACTGCAAGGAAAACCTTCCTCTTCTCCCTCTCCTCTCATCCTTTTCTTGTTTGTGTAATAAACAGTTATACCACTGATCTCTTTAATGCTCAGATTGTCTCAAATTTGGTTAGTGGGTGACTCTCTAAATGAGCTCCAATCTTCTTCTGACACATGACACTATAGGTTTAGCTTTCTTAAATCAAATTGTCCCATATTTACATCTTATTTTCTCTGCTCTACTTCTGGGATCAGCCATTTTCCAAGAAGGTCTGTTTCTATTTACACAGTGAATAGTATTTAGAAACCAAGATCTGAGCATCAGTCCGTGCCTAGATATAGGAGCATTCCTGTTAGATAAAGCTGCCTTTTGCTTAAAGCAATAATGGGCTCAGTATCTAATAGTTACAAATAAGGAGCAAATATAGACTAAGTCTACTTTGTCTCTAATCGACCACAAAGAAAATTTTGCATTTTCTTTCTGGATTGCATAAGTCAAGTCATATTCAGTCAGTTATGAAAAAAGAAGTAGGTCCATAAGAGGAGACTGATGAACACAATCATTTGTTTTATAACCAGAGGTGTGACTAGAGTTTTGAAACAGTATCATTTTAGTCCAAGTTTATTTCTCCCCTAAAAGTCTTTAAATACTTTGAAATTTTAATCCCTCTGATAGTTTTTGGTATCATCGGCACTATCTTACAATATACCCTGTTCAAAGACAATTTTTGTGTCATAGTGACAAATCTCATTTCATAACTACATCTTCTTTTGCCAAAAAGTACGTAACATTACTAAATCAACGAAATTACTTATTTGAAATAGCTTTAGGATTTAGAATTAAATTGTGTTTCTGCTGTTGTTATGTGCCATTGAGTCACCTGCAACCCACAGCAACCCTACAAAGAGTGGCTCTGAGCCCTGCCCTGTCCTGAGCCAGTCTAATTCTAGCATACCAACCCTTATTGCCCCAGTTACTGTATATCTCCATCTCATCCAGGGTCTTCCTCTCCTTCACTGTCCCTCCACCCTTCCAAGCATGACGTCCTTCTCCAAGGACCAATCTCTCCTGACCCATAGTATATGAAACTGAGCTTCAAAATCCTAGCCTCCAAGGAGAAACTTGGTTTCACCCTAGATTGGTTTCACCAAAACTATTTGTTTTCTTGACAGTCCATGGAATGTTCAAGCCTCTTCTCCAGCACCACAACTTGAAGGCATTGATTCTTCTTCTGTCACCCTCAGTCACTGTCCAGCTCTCTGGAGCATAACAAGTAATTGTGAACAACATGGCCTGGATTAGGCGCACCTTAGTCTCCAGACTGACTTCATTGCTTTTCAGTACTCTGGAAAGGTCCCTGACAGCATATTTTCCCAGTGTAATTCATCTTTTGATTTCCTTACTGCTGGTGTTAAGAGTGTTGATTGTTGGAGCCAAGCAAGCTAAAATTGTCAACAACCTCAATCTCTTCTCCATCTATCATTGGTGTGCCAATTGACCCAGTGGTTAAGTATCT